CAAAGCAGGCGCACGGCCCCCGGGGTGCGCAGGGCGCAGGCCCGACTCCTCCGCGCTCCTGTGGCCAAAGCCAAGCCCGGGCCCCAGGACACTGCGGAGCGGCCCTTCTACGGTCTCTGGGCCAAAGACAACCCTCCGGGGAGGCCGTGGGCTGGCCAGGACGCATTCTTCCTAGAGCAGACCAAGAAGAGGGCCGTGAAGGGGCCACCGCGTCTCCACACCAGGCCGTCCCAGGCGCCTGCTGTGGAGGAGACACCTTCCTGAGCATCCCACAGCCCATCCTTTGAGGACCACCGGGCCCTGCTGTGGGAAGCCCAGGAGGTCGACCTGCAGCGGCAGAAGGAGGCAGGGAAGCTGGAGGGGCAGCTGGCCCTGCCCACCCCAGAGCAGGCCACCCCCTAGGAGTCGACCTTTGAGGAGATGTGCCAGGCACTTCGAAAAGAGTCAGATGGGGAGGGGGAGCTGGGCGAGGGCCAGGACAAGGGACCCGAGGTGGCCCAAGACCAGGCCGGAGATGACCAGGCCGGAGGAGGCAAGGCCTCAGCCATACCTGCCCACCTGGCCACTGTGGAGAAGACGGAGCAGCAGCGTCGGCGGGAAAAGGCTGCCGGGATGCTGCGGGTGCAACAGGCCGCGGTGTGGGCTGCCCGGCTGCGGCACCAGGAGCTGTTCAGGCTGCGTGGGACCGAGGCCCAGGTGGCGCAGCGGTTGACGGGGCTGGCACAGCAGCTCGCTGAGGGCAACAAGCCCCGCAGGCTGGGGCGGCTCAAGTATCAGGCCTCAGACATCCAAGTGCAGCTCAGCTCAGAGCTGTCTGACTCGCTCCGGACCTCGAACCCCCGGCAACATCCTCCGTGACCGGTTCAAGAGCTTCCAGAGGAGAAACATGATCGAGCTCCGGGAGAGAGCCAAGTTCAAGTGCAAGTACAAAGTGAAGCTTGTGGAGAAGCAGACGTTCGGAGAGATCCAGTTGTAGCTGATGCTGGATGCCAGAGCCCTCACCCTTCAATAAACCACCTTCGGACCAAAATGAAATAAAATAAAATAAAAAACACATATGTTCCTATATCACATTGAAATAGTTTGTAACTGTATTGCAATATAATTGGTTTCTTTTGTAATGCTCCATATTTCATTTTATGCATTTTAAAAACATTATTCTGAGACCAGTACTGTAGGTTTTACCAGATTGCCAAAGGGGAACATGACAAGAAAGGTTCGTAACTCCCACACCTGATCTCTTCCCAGGACTCCCCAGCACCCATCCCTGCAAGCTCCCTGTGCCCTGTTCTAATTTACCCAACTCACCTCTCTTGCCCTGTTACTCTGAGTCCTCCAAGAAGAAGCTGCCAAGGTAGGATGAAGCCTGCAAGGATCTGATTAAGGGAATTCCTGTGAGAGAGAAAGGGAGCCAGGGGCTGGGAGAACTATGAAGGAGAGAGGGAAGGAAGGTGGGGAGGAGCGTCCTGGACCACCATGCAGTAGAAGGAAAGTTCAGCAGGCCCCGGGGGAATTCTCGAGCCCACGTCTGCTGTCAGAGGATTTCCCTGTCTCCTAGGAATGGGCCTGCCTTGGGATCTCTGCTGAGCTTGATCATGGGCTCATGGGCTGGGAGCAGCCCAGTGGGAAACTGGCCTGAGAGTAGGAGCTGATGAAGTTCAGAGAGAAGCAGCTGAGGCCCTTGGTCAATTTCCACTCCTGGAGTTGGAGGTCTGGGAGGAACATTCTCCTGGCCCCACAATTGCCCATTCAGAGAAATGTCTCCTTTATCTGTAAAGCGGAGGCGACAAAATTCCCTATCTTAAGGGTTGTTGTATTAACTGAAGTTTGCAGATCATTGTTTGCACAGGGCCTGAGATAATCATTCGCAATAACTGGTAGCCATTTTAATTATTATTATTACCATTCTCTTTCTCAGAGGGAAGAGCTCCAGGAGACTGAAGGTGAGTTTCAGCTGGGAGAGGTGGGGACCACTTCCCCACACTCCCCTCACCTTCCCCTGAGGCAGGGGTCTTCCCCTAGCTACTGACAGTTCCTGTGTCTGCTGACTCACAGCCAACTTCCTCTCATGCAAACAGGAAAACACAGTTGGCCAGCAGGCCCCCCGCCCCCCTCCCCCTAACACTAAAGGCCAGCCCAGCTCCGAGGGGGAAGTGCAGCAGACTCTGGAGTGCAGGTTTCAAGGCTGGGGCTCCAGGACAGATGGGGGAGGGGAGAGGAGCCATTTCCCCTCTGGCACCCCTAACCCCCACAGACAAATTTGCAGCAGGAGAATGGGGAGAAGGGGCTTCTCCCAAGGAAGAAAAGGCAGTTTGCTGGTGACTGTGCTCGCATGGTGCCAGCCTATCCTCACATGGGTTTGGGAAAAGAAATGTTGCCTTGCTGACCTTCATGACCTTCATGACCTTCATGACCGTCATCCCTGGGAAGAAGCCTAGGCCGGGCCCTTGGGGGTGGAGAAGCAGATGGGGGTCTCCTCTGCTGGGCCTCGGTCCCCACGGTCCCGACTCCCCTAGGTCAGATAGCCGGGCTGCTGAAGGGCTTCCCAGCTTGGAAGGCTGCGGTCATCCCTGACCTCTGGATGCCAGCTTCCGTGCCCCCTTTCATGGGCGGCGAGGGTCCAGCCACCCCCCTGGATGCAGAAGTGCCACGGAGGCTTAGGGCCGGACCCTATTGCCCTTCCCTTCTGGCAGGACGAGGAGGGGGTGCACAGCCGTCCGGCACAGCGCCGTCTTTTTCCCTCGGGTTCTCTCCCTGTCCCCATCTCAGTTCTGGCCTCGGCCTCTTTGTCCAGCCCTCCCGCCCTGCTCTGGCCCCCAGGAGGACACAGTGGGGCAGCCTCGAGATAAGCGCCGCAGTTGGGTAAGGAGCCCAAAGCTTTGGACGGCCGGCGCTTGCACAAGGAGTGGCCGGGGCGCG